GCTGTGGCAATGCTACGAAATGCATCGATACCTACCTGATTCAGCATGAAGTTGTATACAACGCCATTCTCCTGCAGCACGTGCGCACTATTGATCTTCGTCGTACACTGTGGGTCGACGGGCACCTTTCCCTTTATCACTATCTTCGTTACTAAACACGTGTTCAAGGTGCGTAGGACAATTACTTGACGGTTTATTGCTTGTGGTGGTCGAGGCTGGTATAGAGTCCGCGGATTCGTCGTCCTTACCTATCAGTTGGTGTACCGAGTAACATTCTCACCACTGACAGACGCCTTCCGCTTCTTTGATGCAGCTGCCTTTGGTGTGGTCGACTTTGCTTTTCGCTTGGGAGCTGTAGTCCGCAACGTTGCAATGTTTATATCGCAACATGCAAATTAAGTTCTCAAATGTTATCAACTATATAAGTGTGGTGCATATCACGTATTTCACTTCGTGGAAGTGAGTTTAGGCAGTTGTATTCGCGCAAACTTAGTGCTAAGTATCACATATGGATGCCTTATCTGCTTAGCCTATGTCGGCTACAAAAATACTTGGAGTACCGCAAAGCATTAAGTACAAATCAAATTTTAAATTAAGGACGATGCAACCACCAAAACACCCGCAACCTACCCATCGGAACAAATTTGAAGAGGATCACTAGCAATCGGACATTTTAAATATCTCTCAAGGTCACAGTGAATTAGTGTGAAAATTTCGTTTGTACTTTGCATGAAGTTTTTTGCATGCAGAAATCATTTTTCCCCTGCAATTTTTAGAGAATTTTTTCGATGTGGTGCAGTGCAGTAAATGTTTTTGCTTCTAGCATACTTGAAGCACATTCTACGGATGTGGACATACTTATTTTACCGCGCTGGGCATCTTGTTTCTCCTCCTGGCACACTAAATCCTTACCGTCATCTTTTTTTGTACTAAACAAAGTGCTCTCTTCTTCATATTTGTTGGCTACCTTTAGCTATCTTCTTTGTTCTATCTAATGCCTTGTACTTCAATACGAACATTTAGTCGCTTTCGTTTGTGCATTGAATTCAGCGCTTAAAAATAGAGTTTTTGTTTTTGTATAACGATGTGTCTGAACCGTGTCATGGCTATCGTTGTGCATATAACCATTGTCAATTTTCTTCGCGTAATTTATCTTGACAATATTTTAACTGCGGAAGCCATAGCAGTTTCATGCATTGAATATTCCCCGAACTAAGCATTCGAAGCTCTTTTTTAATTGATGTGGCTTTAATCTGAGTTTGGATATAGGTTGTTCCCGCCTATTTGAAGCCGCCATTGTTTTTTGCATTTTGGTCTGGCAAACATGTGTTTCTTAATTTGGTTTAAACAGGGCAATATTTATAGCGATACGTTTACCATCTTTATTTCATCGTATGCCCTTGCTCATACTTTGGATGGAAGCTACGATTGTTCATCCATCTTTATACAGGTTGAACATTTTCCATTCGTATTGCCCATGCGACGAACGATCCATCTGGTTGAGTTGGTGGCAGGTGTACAGAGACGCAGTTATTGTTATCACTGAGCGTATAGGAAAGCGTTGTTCCATCTTTACCGTCTAGAAGTGTAAACTTTGACACATCGTTGGTAGCCTTAACCTGGGCTAACGGAAGTGTTGGATTTAAGGTGCTGCTAGGCCAATCTGCAAAGAAGGCGTAGACTACGGGGTTCGGTTCGGTTGCGTTTTTCTGGAGGTACCTAGTAAGGGAACAAACCGCTGTCCATAGATTACAGATAAAGACGAAATGGCAACAGCTTTTGAACTTAGAGTGATCTCTAAAACTTAGAGCACAGCAACGGAAGACTGGCTACGGCGCTTAACACTAATGCTTTTATTATTTTCATTAAAAGTCAAATTCTCAGTTTAGCTTACCATAGCTTCTCGCGTTTGCTATCAACTTGGTACTTCCAAGGCGTTGTTTTGTAGATGGCCTCTCCATTCGTTTTCAGCCACTGTCCCATGGTCAGGAGCCTCTCCTCGTAGATCGGTGGAATTGTGCCCCAAGACGTTGGCGCCACATTCACTAACAAATTTCCTCCGTAGACAACCACACTGATGAGGTTTTCTATCAGCTCCTACGCAACATTTTCCAGTAAGTAGTTGCGAAAACTTGGCGCAAAATTACCTTTATAAGGTTTGTAAAGTATCCTATTGCTTAAGTTTTGCTCTTAATAAGATTCTTTTAGGCATGAAGATTGAACATTTGGTTTACTTCGGGGGATAGATAGTCATCCAGACGGCTTTCGCGTCGGAAGCCCCACGAGTAGCGATCCAGTGTGATGCAGCTCTCCCATTTGTGAGAGAGCACCTTGTTGGGATGAAATCTATCTTCACAGTTAAAGAAATCGCCATGTTGGCAATTGGCATCTAAGCCCCACCGATCGTTCACCACCACCTCGTCCTTGACTGGGGAGTCATTGTAAAGCCACGCTAGAAATTCCTTTGCCTTCCAGTAGTCGCTCGTCGCTGGAGCACCATCAGACCATACGACACTGGGCCTGTAGCGATTTACCAAATCCATCAATTCTGGCATTGCTTTCGTGTCTACAAAAGTCTAATTTGAATCCTTTGCAGTTAAAACAAAAACAATAGCCTAGATATTTGTTCCACCTATTTTAAACATTGCATGCACACCTGTTTTTTATAACCAGAAGCTTTGTCGGCTAGATAGAGTGGATTGAACCACTCGAACATCGAATGATATAGACCGAACCGGAGATTGGTGTTAGTTCGAATGGCATTGGCTAATTCACCCACAAGATCACGCCGTGGTCCTACGTCCACGGAATTCCAATTCCAGGAGAAGGGTGCGGGCCAATTGCAGTAGCCTTCGTGATGTTTAGCTGTAAGGACCACGTATTGCGCTCCAGAAGCGTTGAAAATTTCCGCCCAGTGGTTTGGGTTAAAGAACTCTGCACGAAAGTTTTGTGCGAAGTCAGGGTAGGCGAAGTCAGAGCCATAGTACGTCTGCATGTACACCCACACCTGAGGGTTCGGTGGGTTCCCTTGCCAGTACCACCAAAACCATTCGCTCCTAGATCGTTAAATTAATTGTGTTTGAAGTTGATGGAGGTGCTAAGACTCCCGTCTTTAGTAGAGTTTGCATTGAGTTATTTCTTAAGTCTGCTTAAAATGCATTTTTGGAAGTGCGTGGTTTAGGGATCTCCAAGAGAAGGAAGTTGACTGTATTTACAGAATTACATTACACTTACTCAAGGGTAGCTTGAGTGCTTCAAATATGCTAGGAGAACACTAGTAAAAGCAAACTAATGACCCTTACACATAACTTGGAACAGAGAAGACTCCCCAATGTATAAAAATTCCGACTTTGCTTTCGTCAAACCATGAAGGCAGAGGTCGTGCGTCCAGAGATGCCCAGTCGGGAGTGTAGGTGATGTTTGTGGAACCCAATGCCGCCCAGGAAGCACATACGATGGCAAAGGCTTTAGCGAACACAGTGAGCATAGCTTGGTGAAAGTGTGGATGAATCTGATGGCGAAACAGTGATGCCAACCACTGTTTACATTATGGCACCGATTAACCATTTACACCGACCAATGTAAATAAATGTCATCCGAAATCCTACTTCTGAGTCTGAACGACTGCGTTTATTGGTGGTGCAGCGGAGCTGGACTGGTGCTTGGCTGTTCTACGCCTTCGCAGCGTTTTGTCCTCTAGCAATCCGCCATTGGAAATGGGGATATGGAAATGCTAAGTCATCGCAACGTGCACGACAAACTGCTAGCAACCGCATGCGGCACTAATGCTGCTTTTTTTCAAATTCTGCAGAATAGCACACACATGGCAGCCACTTATTTTTCCTGTAGTGAAGTGTTTTGTCCACCGTACAGTGAAATGTAAAAAAGTGTCCCTGGAAGTTAGAATTAAACGCTTTGGTGTGGCCTTCGGTTCACGTTTGCAGAATCCCACCTCCATTGTTAGTTTGCACAGTGTGTTCGCTTGCAAACTCTTTCTACTTTACAATCATAGGATAGGATGCGGTGCTGCCATATAAGCAACCATATAGAAGTAAAAAGCGTCAAAAAACCCTTAATCAAAGAGTGGAAAAGATAGCTTTAGTAGTAAAGCCACCGGAGGTCTAGAATGACAACTACCCTGACAATTGGTCTTCAGAATTCCAACTAAATCTGTAAAGGCCTTGCAATGCTATGCCTGTTCTGCTGTGATTTAGACAGCCATCTTGCAACCGCAGAATGGGCTGGCATTAGCGCCATGGCTGGGGCTGTTAACGGTTGGGCTGAAGGACTGACTTTATTGACCTGCCAGATGAGCAGTAAGGGGATAGAAGGTGAAAACGATTTTGTAGAAAGTAAATTGGCGGACAATGTTTAATCAAAAAGTTCCACCTAGTAGCTCTAGGAACTGCCTGCCTGCCCTTGGAATTCAGAAGAGGGTTAGTTGGCGAAGCTTTATTAGACATAAAGTACAGAACCAAAATGGGGTGGAGGAGAATAAAAATGAGACACGAAGCGAACGCCACCATCAGACTGACCCTTTAGACTCCTCGCGAATTGGATTCGTGCTCAAATTCCTTTCGCACCTCTCACCAATAAAGCCCAACTTAAACACATTCGTATATATATAACAGTAGCATCCTGATATTGTCGAATAGGAAGTAAATAGTGTAATGATCTGTTTATGTGACCACCTGACGTTTGGTGGTCACATTAAGATTTCTCTGGCCTTTGCACTTGTAGGTTGGCCTTCGGGACATGCTTAGCCCTAGCCGCTTCGTTCTCTTTGGAATGCATGTATCTAGCTTCACTTACTGCCTTCTCCATCCGGTGAGGAGTCTCGGGACGCTACATGTGATATTGATAGTGTAATGCTTTGTTTATGTGACTATCTGACGTTTGGCGGTAACTTTAGGATTTGTCTGGG